CGGTAATTACATTGAACCTTATGGGGGAAATTTGCTCCGGGTTGCGACCAATCCGAGTTGCAACCAGGGTCACGGAACGAATAAAGTTCGTAAACCGAGGTTCCACTGTACTGTGATGCATCCAGAGATAAAATTTGGCTTAGGAATTAAGGACTATCCAGAGAATGGGGGAATAGCAGCTAAGTCAACTTGTATCAATCCATAAAGCCCACTGCTTTAGCTGCATCACCACCTGATTATTGATTTTAAACTACTGGTTGTTTGTACATAGATGTGTTATATTTTATGTTTTATTTGATTTGACTGTTACCTTTCTTGAAAAGGTGGGATAAAACACCACAAATAAAATGCATTTGTGTTTTTAAATCTTTTCAGATGCAGACTATAGCTGAAAATGGAGATGCCTCTTCTGGAAAACAAAATGAGGAGAAAACGTATAAAAAGGTTTTTAAAGTTTCATATCACCTTAGAATTGTTCAGAATTGTTTTATTTTCTAGCAGCTTATATTGGAGCACTAGAATGGACTCTGTTCTCTTTTATGGTTCTTTGGACACAAGAAAATGTGTTTGGCTATATGGAAGACTACCACCATCCAGTTTATAGGCGGCAATTTTCCAGCCGCTACAGACAGAACCTTCTGGGACACGAGCCTGAAATCAATGCCTTTCGTCTTCTTTTCTGAAGAAGAAAATTAATCACTACACGCTCACTTCTGAGCTATGCCGCCTTCTTGTTGGAAAAAATTAAGAGTACTGCTGCGCTTTCTGGCACTGGTTGTTTGTGGTAGTTCTTTCTGATCCTGATTGCAGCCAAAAATAGTGCCAGACATGAGAGAGAGGAGAAGGAAAGAAACAGCCAAGGCAGAATTTTATATTTATTTCTTATGGCCATGAAAATATGAAGAGCTGTTTATCAAAGGAATGTCTTTGAGTTGTAGTTTAGATCTGATCTCTGACCTAAAAAGAAACACTTTTATTTAGTTTCTAGTCTCGTGTCGCATTACCAATTCATTATGGGCCATCTGACCCAATACAAACCTTTAACTTACCATGGTAAATGTTTTGTTAAAATGTCAGTGCTATTTATTTGAAGTTTTTCAGCCACTTTCTAGGGCTACACCCTCACAAAGTGATAGACAAGCAAGCATAAGAGTACTTCAAGGATCTACCCTGTAACATAGGTAGAGTTTCAGTTTTTCAAGTTTCAGTTGAAAGCAGTGCTGAAGAAATACAATACAAAATACTGGACTATGGCTATATTAAATGGATAGCTATATTAAATGGATGGCTATATTAAATCTAAATAACAATAATAATGTTAATTAGAAAGGAAATTTTATAGTTGCCATATATTACATGTATGAAAGAGATGAAAAGGATGAAAAATGTCATTAGAAAAACATATGGCTCTTAGGCACCAAACAAAGAATAGCCTTATATGGTATACTCATTCATGTTATATAATTACATTTGTAAAATGTGTTCCATTACAAGAATTAAAAAGAGAAGTTAAGCATATAAACCAGTAAATGCAGTTCAAATCTCAAAATAGTGATCCACAGGACTCTTAATGGTGAAATACTTGTTCAAATATAGAGAGATTAATTTTTTATATCATGATATAATTGATGGAGAATTATTCTTCTTGTAGTCTTTTGTAGCATCAAACTCATTTTGCAACTACGAAAGCATGCAATATCCATTTCCATTGTTATCCTGCTAGCTTTGTAGCCACTGGTATATAATTCAACAGCATACAAGCATTTACGAGATTTATAATATAATATAATATAATATAATATAATATAATATAATATAATATAATATAATATAATCTTGTAAATTTATAATCAAAACAAATTTAATATATGAAATTATTTCAGTCCAAAAGG